GATTCTCTCCATTCCTTGACCAATGAGCTTACCCCTGAGGAGTCATGGCATACTACTATTATTTACAAACTGAATAGACCATTTCAGCTCTTATTGATACTGTGTGCACCATTCTAAAAATAGAGGATCAGCTTGCTTCTACTAGTGCTGTTTCCAGTCTTGGGTCATTTAAAACGCCTACAGCCACAAAAACCTTCTGTTTGCACCCGCTATTCCAACTATTTCTCTATAAAGTTTGAAAACATCCTAACAAGCTTTTTTCCCCTCAATGTGTATTAGTTGTGTTCATTTAGTAAGGATTTTGTGCAGAAGTGGTTTACCCCACTGTGGATCTGGCAGTCTCTGGCTCTAACAGTGTGTTTACCATGTCAGTAGAGGATGCAGCTGTCTTTAAGAGCCCAGTCAATAAGTGGTTACAAGTACTTTGTAGAGCTTTGTTCTCATTAACCTGCCGTTCATCCATTTCTAGCTTCAACCTTTTCAAACCATGTCTGACCGGTCGAAAGTCTCTTAAAAGAGATGTAACTGCTGCCAAGGTTGCTCCCTCATTTATAGAATGTGTGGAACACATGGCTGCAGCCTTACATTTCAGCTGTGGCAGTTTGCTAAAAGCCTACCATCTTATTTATCACATGTGGCTCATGCCAGTTCATACAAATTCTGGACTGCAGAACCTTTGTGTAAAATAATTTGAGTCGCATGACCTTCAAGGGACAGCATCTCTGTGGACAATCTTCTCAAGGATGTTACTGGTGGCAAGAGTACCCATCTTCCTCAGTAGAAGAAACCTAAGCAACTAACTAGAAAGTCTTCATCCTCCTCATTTTTTATCTGAAACATTCTTTTAGTTTCTTCACAATGGTAACTCACTATTATTATACATGTATATAGCTCTGACCTATACCGCAGTGCTGTACAGAGAACACTGAGCCAGTCACATCAGTCTCTGTACAGAGGAGCTTACACTCTAATGCACAATGGCACCAGCTGTAGGGGAATTACAAATCCCAGCAATACATTTATACAGTAATGCAGAAGAGTACATTAATTTGACTCAGGGCTTAGTGACCCGCTGAACGCAGGGCTTGATGACCCGCTGGACGCAGGGCTTGATGACCCGCTGGACGCAGGGCTTGATGACCCGCTGGACGCAGGGCTCGATGACCCGCTGGACGCAGGGCTCGATGACCCGCTGGACACAGGGCTTGATGACCCGCTGGACGCAGGGCTCCCCTTACCTGCTCATGGTGCCTGTACACCTGGCCTTCTCTGCTGCGGGACTGGCCGGAAGTGACATCACATCACTGACATGATTTCACTTCCGTCCGGTCCAACATCAGACGAGCAGCGGCGCTGATGGGGCCCCAGCCTGTCTCGAAGC